GCATCCTCCTGGAAGGGGTGCATATCATGTGCAGTCTTACAGTCAATAAGCATCTCTCCTGAAAGGAGTGCATACATGTGCAGTCTGACAGTCAATAGCATCTCGCTGAAGGGTGCATATCATTTGCGTCTTACAGTCATAATAGGCCATCTCTCCTGAAGGGTGCATATCAGTGCGTCTTAACAGTCAATAGCATCTCTCCTGAAGGGTGCATATCATGTGCGTCTTACAGTCAATAGCATCTCTCCTGAAGGGGTGCATATCATGTTCGTCTTACAAGTCAATAAGCATCTCTCTCTTGAAGGGTGCATATCTGTGGCGTCTTACAGTCAATATCATCTTAAATTCGATGTTAAATGAGCCTTAGCGGATTCTCAGAGAAGAAAGTTGGGCGAGGCAGCACAGCTACTGAGTGATGGAGCCGCTCAGGCTGCTCTGGAGAAGGCAGGGGAGGCGGCGGCTGGCGAGTGGAGCAAAGAACAGAGCTGGGAGACGGAGCGGTGCGGCTCACCCGGTCATAGGTGTAGGCGATGTCCATGGAGGAGATGCCCAGGAAGTGAATGAAGGGCGCGTAGTCGCTGCCAGCACCCAGAGAGCCCACGCTGCGGGAAGGAAGATGGATGGGCTGGAGGCTGCTGGGCCGGCCCGCCTGCCCGGGCCCCCGCCCGGGCCCCAGCCCCGGACTCACCTGGGGACCAGGCCATACACTGGACTGCTGCGGTTGAAATACCGGATCCAGTTGTCGTAGATGCTGAGGCTGCCCGGGCCTGGTGCGGGGATCTGACCAGAAGGGAATGTAGTCTCGGGGTTGGCCCCTCCCCGACCCAACAATGAATGGGTCCTCTGCCCGGCCCACCCTAGTCTCCAGCCAACGCACAGTCCTGCGGGTCCTACAAGGCCCGCCTCCGGTCTCAGTCCCACCCCCAGCCCCGCCCACAACCAGGGCCAGCTCCAGCCCCGCCCACCCCGTAGCCCCGCCTCCGCCGTCCGCCCCGCCCCCTTCACCTGTTTGGCTGCGGAGAAGATGACGCTTTGGACCGGGGGCGTCCCCTGCGCCCTCAGGGTGGCGTTGGCTGTGGGGGGACCAGAGAAGGGCTCTATCCCGACCCCAGCCCCTCTATCTGCCCCCGCCCAGGTAGCCCAGTCTCCCCCATACCAAACACCGAGATGTCCACGTTGATGTAGGCCACGGCGCGCTCCTGCAGCTTGTAGAAGAATTCCTGCGGGGAGGGGCGGTGTCAGCCCGGCACTGCCCGGCCCGCGATCCCCTTGATCGCCTGCCCTGGAGGCTCACTCACCTCCGTGAATTCTGTGGAGCCAATGAGCCCAAACTCCTCTGCCCCCCAGCTCGCAAACACGATCGATCTGCGGGGGCGCCAGATGCCTGGGGCAGGGATAAAGGGTTAGAGTGCGGGGCCCCCAGATCCTGGGGTGATTCAGAAAGGTTGGGGACGTGGAGAGGACGGAGGGCTGGAGGTAGGTCCTGGTACCTCTCCAGCCAAGTCTTCCCAGAGGCTCCCTCCTCTGCTGTGACACCCCACCAGCACCCCAACATTGCCCTCAACACCAGTATCCCTCAGTCAGGTGGTCCCCTCCCCGGGCGCCCTGCCTCCCTCTTCGTTAGAAGCAGCTTGAGAAGGCCTCCTGACCCTACAGCTCCAGCTCCCTTCTCCACCCATCATCCTAGAAACACTGGCCCACAGGCTGCCCCTGGGGAAGCCCTCAGATAGTCTCTTTGTGGCCCATCACAATTGTCCTTACACGCAGGCGCTCTGGGGGTTCACGGTTGGGCCTCCGGTGCTTAGGGCCGGCCTGACATGTAGTGGCACCGAGATACATGTGCTGAGTTAAGGACTGTCATTCCTGCCTCAACTGGGCTGAAGCTCGCGGAGGCAGAGCCTGGACACTGCCTTGCTCACAGCGGCATCTAGGCCTCCCTCCATCCTGGAGCACAACAGGCTCTCAGAAGCTACCGTAGAATTAATCAGTGGTCCGGTCCGGTCCCTGTACCACACTGGGCTACTCGAGGCCAGGGCTGGTGTCCACGCCTGTCTGCCTCCAGGGCCCTCAGGCTAAGGGGGCACTGGAGAATGAGACAGGAGGTGGAACAGGATGTCCAGAGCCAGGAAGGAGTGGGTTTGGAGTGACCTCCCGGAAGACAGTTCCTGGGTCGGGGGGCTCACCCTTCTTTAGCAGGGTCCCCAGGACGCGAGAGAGCTCCAGGAGGACAGCAGTGCCACTGCTGGGGTCCACGGCCCCATGCACCCAGCTGTCCCGGTGGTTTCCATAGAGCACATAGCGGTCTGGGGGAGGAGGAGAATCAGAAGCCAGAGAAGAGGGTGGACAGCCAGGCAGGGGGGAGGGCGCAGTCAGGGGCCTCAGAGCAGGGCTGCTCCTGGGGGCTCACCAGGCTCCACAGCCCCGCGGATGATCCCCAGGACGTTGGAGGAGTTCCGCAGCTCCAGGCGGTTGTGAACACTCAGGTTCACCTGGCTGGGGAGTGAAGGGGCCGGCAGAGTGTTGGTCCTGCTCCGCCACCCCCACCTCTACGCCCGCTCTCTGCCCCAGTGCAAGAGAAACCGGCCCCGGGCAGAACAGGACAGGGAGGGCCCAGGAGTACCAGGAGAGGCAGGAAGGCTAGAGCCCAGCTCTTCCAATTCCTGTTCTCCTTTTCATTGACCCCCTCTCTCCCTCCCTCATTCAGTGCTTATCAGATACTTGGTGATGCTGGCAACACACCAGGGTCTGGGCCAGTGGTCGGCAAACTCATTAGTCAACAGAGCCAAATATCAACAGTGCAACGATTGAAGTTTCTTTTGAGAGCCAAATTTTTTAAACTTAAACTATATAGGTAGGTACATTGTTATTAACTTAATTAGGGTACTCCTAAACTGGCCTTTGCTAAAAACGTCCTCAATCTGAGGGGTCGACCTCAGCAAACATACCCCCACTTCTTCTAACGCCACTTCTTCAAAATAGACTCGCCCAGGCCGAAAACCGGCTTCTGCGCATGGGCCACGAAGTTTCAATCTCACTGTACGTGCGCGCCCGCACGTTGTATTTTGTGGAAGAGCCACACCCAAGGGGCCAAAGAGCCGCATGTGGCTTGTGAGCCGCGGTTTGCCGACCACTGGTCTGGGCAGTGATGGATGGGGCCTCCCTCTCCTGAGCCAGACCCGAGGAAGCAAACAACTGCAGTGGATGCGTGACAGGCTCCCTGGTGGCAGGGAAGGTTAGTGCAGGCAGGAATGGCAGGAGCCACTGCAGAGACCCTGATTTGGGAATGAGCTTGGTGTGCTCAAGAGAGGGGGCGACTGGAGAGTGGAGGTCTGAGATAGAGTAGGGGTACCCCACAGGGACTTGTGGGCCACACGGCTGTCTCACTGGTTCCCCAAAGACAAGACAGACATTTTGGAATCAAGGGAGGGCTTGGGAGAGAACTAAGGGAAAGGCCAGGCCTTGATGTGGGCAGAGGGTCAGGGAAGCATAACTAGGGAGGGGAGAGGGGGTTGAGGGAGGAGGGGTCCAGCTCACCTGCCTGCGAACATACCACCAGGCTCGAAGCCCGGGCCCAACTTGTAGTCACAGCCCAGTGCTCCCTGCCAGTCAGCCTGGGCTGAGGGTCCTTGGAGGTTACTGGGGAGAAGAGGGAGAGCCTCAGAGCGAATATGGGTGTGGGGGCAGAAATGTGGAGGCCCTTGGAGGAGGGGCAGGAGACCCCAGGGCACAAGCTCACCAGAGAAGGACTTTGGCATCCTCGAAGCCAATGGGCTGAATGGGAATTGGGGGAAATCCGGAGGCAGTGGCTGGGTCCAGGCGAAAGGAAGAGTGGTTGGCTGGAAGGTAGGGAGTGAGGGGGTCCCCAAAATACTCATAGTAGGAGCCTCGTTCCACCCCAGAGGGAGGCAGGTGCCAGGAGTGCGGGAAGGTCTCGTTGGGCAAGCTCCGCCCGTCATTGATGTCTGCGGGGTCCGTGTACACCAGCACCCCAGCCACCTCGTGCTTGGCAGCGTTCACAGCCTGCAGGAGGGGGAGGAGGATGCACACCTGTGTTCTGGCTGAGAAGCCAGGCCAGATCTATCTTCCACTGGCAGGATGATGCCAACCCAAGTCAGCCTCAAAAAGGAAGGAAATTCTGATACAACATTGATTAACTGTGGAGAGCGGATACAGTGTTTGGACAGGTTCAAGCCTCGGACTAATGAGAGGGCACAGTCCTCTCATTGCCACGTGCAAGTCCCAGGTTGGAGGGCAGAGCCCTCCCAGCACAATTATAGCCAACAGCTGCAGTTGTAAGCTTGAACCTATGGTCTGAACACGTGGCCCCACGTGCCTGAGTGATGTGGGTTTGATAGAGTTCAGGTGCATGTCATTGAGTAGGATTGAAACCCACAAGAATGTTGTAAACATCTTGACCACACCCTTACTTTGCCTCGTGGAATCTGGCTATAAAATGAAGACACGGCTTGTAGTCCGTGACGCTGTCTCTCCATCAGAGAGGGCATCGTCCCACCTAGCGCCCAGCTTTATTCTCCTGTCTGTCTTTTCTAATCCTTCACCACCCATTCTCAGGGTCACCCGTGGCCGTGCTGGCGCGGCACAATGAACCTTGAAAACATTATGCCGAGGGAAATAAGGCAGACATAAAAGAACAAATACCGTATGATTTCTCTTACATGAGATACCAAGACAAGGCAAATTCAGAGAGACAGAAGGTGAATAGAGGCTCCCAGGGCTGAGAGGGAGACAGAAGAGTTCTGTTTATGGGGACAATTTTATCTGGGATGGAGCCAGAGTCCTGGGCGTGGGTGGTGGTGGTGACTGCCCCATTTTGTGAATGTTCTTAATGCCACTGCATTGTACACTTAATGATGGTTAAAATGGTTTTATTGCTACAATAAAAACAAAACAGTACCTTTTAAAAGGCAGAACGAGGACAGAGTTTGTGTGCCAGAGTTGATGTGTTTCCTCCACAAGTAACTCTGCATAGATATCCCAGCAGCCGAAAGAGTGGTGGCCTCTTTGGAGGATGGCCTCACTGGAGAACTTTTCATTTTACACGGGGTTTTTATAAACTGGAAATTCCATCATGCCTCCCACCCCCTTTTATTCTGTTCTTCTCTTTTCTTTTTATTTTTTTTTCCAGCTTTTATTATGGGCACTTCTTTAAAAACTATGATCAAGTACACATAACATAAAACTTATTATCTAAACCATTTTTTTGGTTAATCCTCACCCATGGATTTTTAAAATTGATTTTTGGAGAGAGTGGAAGGGAGAGGGAGAGATACAGAAAGAGAAACATCGATGAGAGAGAGACACATCAATTGGTTGCCTCCCGCAGACACCCTGACCAGGACCGGGGATGGAGCCTGCAATGGAGGTATGTGCCCTTGGCCAAAAGCGAACCTGGGACCCTTCAGTTTGAGGGCTGATGCCCTATCCACTGAGCCAAACCAGCTAGGGCTATCTTAACCATTTTAAAGTGTACCGCTCAGAGGTATTAAATACATTCATATTATTGTTCAACTATTACCACCATCCATCTCTGGAACTCTTTTCGTCTTGCAAATCTGAAATTCCATATCCATTAAATACTCTCTCGTGCGCTATACCTGTATATATTTTTTAAAATGTTAAACCATAGACATGTATTATTTAGTCAAAATTTTCAATTGAAAAGAAGCAGGCTGTGGGGAGGGCAACTGGGGGTATTTAAGTTGAATATTGGGAAGAATTGCTTCACAGGAGGTCTTAGACTCCTAAAATATCAAAGCTGAAAATTTTGCCTAATGAGGCTCAGAGAGGTTAGGGGAGGCATCCAAGGTCACACAGCACATCAGGGTATAACACAAATACAGCTCAGCCCCCCACTCAATATTGCTCCTTCCCCTCCCCCTCACTTCCTCCTGTCCACTGCTGGGCCCCACTCCCCGTCCAGCGCCCTGCCCTGGGGACTGCTGCTCACCTTGGCCCCGCGTCCTACACCCCCGTAGCGGGTCAGGGCGATGGTGCCTTTGAGTTGGATGCCCTGAGCCTGTAGCTCCTTAAAGTCGTCTTCTGAGCCCCGGTTGGCGTAGACGAGGAGGCCCTAGTCCCAAGAGGAGGTGACCCTGAGAGCCAGGCCCAGGGAAGATGGAATGGGAAAGGAGAGGGATAGCTGGGTGGCAGGATAAAGGGTTTCAATTGCAAGCTCCCCAAGGTCAGTCACACCTGGTTTCCTGGTGTCCAGGTACCGTGTATCTGGCCCGGCCTGGAGCAGGAGCCATTAGTGTTTGCTGAGTGACTAAGTGATGGGCGATAGAAGTAGCAATGGAGTGTGGAGCTGAGTAAACTCTGGGGTTGGGGGAGCTGAGCCCCAGTCGAGACATTTTCTCAAGTGCCCCTGAGTCAGGATGGGAGAATCTGGAGTGGGAGCTGGGCAGCTGGGCCATGGCAGTAGGAGGGTGTAATCTCGGCCCACCTGTGGGGTTCCGGGGGGGGCGTAGGCAGCATAGGGTGGCACCACATCAGGCCCCCCCTGCTCCCCAGTCAGGTTCTCTTCGCTCTGGCGACAGGAGAAGAGGATGGTCCCACTGGGACCCACTGTGGAAGGGGGACGGTGTTAGGAGCTTACCATCGAGCCTGCAACCAAGGGACCAGGTACATGCCCGAGGTATGTGCCCGAGGTATTGCCCGTGGGCCCCACAGCTCCCCACCCCACAGGCATCCCTCAGCCAGTGAGGCGGGACCTCACCAATGGCCACGTGGTTCGGCTGCTCCTGGCTGGGGAAGGACAGCAGCACTTCGTAGGTGGACGCCTCCGCCGAGTCCAGACCTGACTCTGGGTCCCGCCAGCGCCGCAGCAGCAGCTGCACCAGCGCCTCGTCCTGGGGGCTGGAGGCCAGGTGTGGCTCCCTGGAGAGCTCTCTGCAGGGTGGGCAGAGGGGGGCAGGCCCAGGGTCAGGGCGGGGCCTCTGGCAAACAGAAGGGGCCGGTAGAAAGGCCTCTCACCTAAGATTCTCCCGGATCCTGCTGGCGTCCAGCTGCCCCATGATGGTCTCAAGGATCTCTGGGTCCAGGTCCTGGGAGGCTGAAGCACTGGGTGCTGGCGGGTTGGCTCCCTTGGGGATGGCAAAGTGGCCCAGGATGATCCCTAGCCCCAAGAGGGCCGCCGCCCCCGCCAGCCCCCCAAGCACCTTCCCCCACTGCATCCTGCGGAGTCTTGGCCAGCTAGGGTGGCTTCTTATAGACGGGGTGTCAGGCCTAGTTAACCATTACCCCAAGATGGCCCTGCCCTCTGGCTTCCTCGCTCACTGTCTGGGAAAGTGAGGGGAAACCCTGCAGGGAGGACCTGGAGCTGCTCACATCACTACAGTGTCTGCACCTTTCACCTGGAAAAGGCCTCCAGGGGCATGACTTCCGCACAGGGCCACTGAGGCCCAGGGAGGGACCCCGGTGTCTCGGTAACACGGAGGCCCGGCCAGGACTCCGAGCCCGTGTCCAGACATCCCTGCCTGTCTCCTCGGTGTCACTGGTTTCCAGCACATCAGCGCTGGCTGCTTGAGCAGGTTTGCGCTTAAATCCCGCCCTTCCACCCAGCGCGTGGCTCAGTGGTTGAGCATCGACCTATGAACTGGAAGGTCGAGGTTTGGTTCCTGGTCAGGGCACATGCCTGAGTTGGGGGACTCGATCCCCAGTAGCGGGCGTGAGGGAGGCAGCGGATCCATGATTCTCTCTCATTGATGTTTCTATCTTCCTTTCTGTCCCCCTTCCTCTCTGAAATCAATAAAAATATATTTTTTAAAAAGTAAAATAAATCCCATGGACTCCACCACGTGGGAAGTGCCCTATAGAAGGAGGACTATGTGCTCCCAGCGAGGAGAATGAGGAGTTCTGTCTGGCAGGGACCATTGGAGGGGATCTTCCCAGGATGAGAAGGAATTTAGATGCAGAGAGGGCGAGGGACTGGCCATCCGTACAGACGGCCTAGCATGTGCCAAGGCTGGCGAGACGGAGAGGGAGACACGAAGTACTCAGCACAGATAATGAGCCTCTTCCACATCTCACAGAGCCAAGCAGCACTGGGAGAGTCCCTGGGGCTCGAGCTGCGCCTCCTCCCACCTCCCATGTTATCCTGCCTCGGCACCCAGCCAGGCTGCTGCCCACTGACAGGCCCAAGGATGCCTGAAGAGCTGAGGGAGCTGGTCCATGGTGGACTGTGTGTGTGTGAGTGTGTGTGTGTGTGTGTGTGTGTGTGTGTGTGTGTGTGTGTGTGACCCACAGCCCCCCTAGGAGCAGCCCCTTTCTGCTCACAACCCCACCTGCCCCGGGCCCCACCATGCCATCTCCCTTGTGCTGCTGGTCAGGAGGGTTTGCATGTTAGCACAGGAGGGCGGAGGTGGGGAAGGGGGTGTGGGGGGAGTGTGATCAGTGACTTCGGGGACATGCACCAGGAAGCCACCTTTCTTGGCCAGGTGGTTATCAGCACCCAGGTAATTGACCTTGGGGCTTATCAGAAGCCTGTCAGGGTGGAGAGTACACAGTCCTTAGGAAGACACAGGACAGTTACCGCAGGAAGGCAGTGGGATGCCAAGGTCAGCTGGTAAATTGAGGAAGAGACATGGCCATGACATCACAAGGTACAGCTTTATGGTCCCACCCACCCCCTCCTGGAAGGATTTAGTCCCTTGAACATGTGAAGTTACAAGCACAACATCTGGACAAGAGTATGTGACATCTGAGTGGGCTACTCCACCTGAGTGCAACGTGTGTGTGTGTGTGTGTGTGTGTGTGTGGAGAGAGAGAGAGAGAGAGAGAGAGAGAGAGAGAGAGAGAGAGAGAGAGAGGCACCCCTGAGAACGCTGGCGCAGGCTGTGGGAGTCAGCTGGTGTCTACACTGCTGTAGGCACCAGACGCTAATTTGATCAATCTTCCTTCCCCTGTCTTAGTGGGGTGGGTGGCGGGCCCCTCCCTGGACATTTTGAATTGTGGGTGTTGATGAAAATCACCTGAGGTAGCCAATGCATTTGATTCCCTTTATCTTCTCACCTCACTCCCAGGATCATGCTGACTGAGTTCTCCAGTCTCTCCGGGACTGCCAATGCCTCTGTGCCAGCTCCTTGCCACTCTCCCTCACCCCCCTCCTTGCCCAGACTCAGTCCCTTGCAAAGCCTCTCACCCCTCGTGATCCTCTCTGCTTTGGTCACAGTCACTGGGTAAAACCCCAACCTGGTTATAGCCAACCCACCACCCACTCTGCACCTGCCCCCTGGCCCCTAATGTGCCTGCAGAGCCGCACGGCCCCGCTGATGTTCCTGTAAACTTATGACCCCACACCTGAAGCAGGCCCCCGGGACTGCCCAGCAGGCCTGCCATCTTTCCTGTCCACTCACTCTCCCTCCCGGGCTCCTCTGTTCTCAAGCCTCCAACACGGTCGCCTCCACCCTCTCTCTCAGCCAGTGACTGCGCTTCCCTCTTTCCCCCGATAGAATTGCTTCTTTTTATTAAATGATTTACCATAGAAAGTCTTACATGTCTTTTTCCCCCATGACCTCTCCCTGCCCACTTCCGCCCCCAGCACAGCCTTCACCCGCTACTGTGTCCATTGGCTATGCTTATATGCATGCTGACAAGTCCTTTGATTCTTATGTCCTTCTCCCCCTCTCCCTTCCTCTCTGAAATCAATAAATATATATATATTTTTTAAAAGGTCAACTTCGCTCCCTGTTGCCAAATCCAGTTCCGTCCTCCTTTTTTAATTTTATTTTTTATATAAAAATCTTGCCGAAACCGGTTTGGCTCAGTGGATAGAGCGTCAGCCTGCGGACTGAAGGGTCCCGGGTTTGATTCCGGTCAGGGGCATGTACCTGGGTTGCGGGCACATCCCCAGTGGGGGATGTGCACGGGGCAGCTGATCGATGTTCCTCTCTCATTGATGTTTCTAGCTCTCTATCTCTCTCCCTCCCTCTCTGTGAAGAATCAATAAAATATATTTAAAAAACTTTAAAAATAATCTTGGAGTTAGGTCTTACTCCGCTTTCTCTCATATCCTACCTTGGGTCTATGTATCAGTAAATCCTGCTGGCTGAGCCTCAAAAGAAATCTGGAGGTCATCCTGGCCCCAGCTCCCCATCTCGCCTTTGGGGAGCACCGGGAGGCGTGCCCCGGATCTGCAGAATGGATGGAGAGCCGACCTGAAGCAGCTGAGCTCCTCGGCACCGGGCGCTCACGCTCCAGCTGCCTGGGATTTAAGGAGTGTCCAGGGCAACAACAGGGATACAAAAGCACCCCTGGGAAGTAGACCCCAACACCACTGCAGCCATGGTGGGGCCTGCATCACACAGGTGCCCTCAGGAGACGAGGACGTGGGACCTCACAGGCCTCCAAGCAGACGTTTCTGACGGGTGATGCCATGGGATGGAGGGGATGCTGCCAGATTGCAGGGTCGGGCATCCTCAGGCAGGAATGGCCAGACCTTGAGGCTGGGCAGGAATGGGCAGCCTGCTGGGAGCACAGGTACCCCAACCTGCTTCCCCTGGGCCTCTCAAAGGTGTGGGTAAATCCACTGGCGATCAGCTCAGAATCGCCGATGTTCACTGAATGCTAACAATTCCCCCGGCTGAGGTTAGGATTCAGGGAGAGGCCGCACCTCCTGCAGCCTCATCCAGGAGCTACACCACCTCGCGGACACGAGGCAAGAGAAGGGGTTCCATTCCACGCCTCACAAGAGAGATGGGACCATGGGGACACACAGGACGGCGTTTGCCAGCCCAGCCCTGGTGTCTTTTGTTTTCTTTTCTGTTTTCTAACCCAGCCGCCGTGTCTTTTTTTAAAAAGTATATTTTTATTGATTTTAGAGAGGAAGGGAGGGGAGAGAAACATCAATGAGAAGAGAGAATCGTTGATTGGCTTCCTCCTGCACGTCTCCACTGGGGATTGGCCCGCAACCCAGACATGTGTCCTGACTGGGAACTGAACTATGACCTCCTGGTTCATAGGTCAACGCTCAACCGCTGAGCCACACCAGCTGGGTGCAGCCCCAGCGTCTTAATAACAGAGGCCTGGAAGACCTGAGCCAAGCTTGTGACTGACACAGTAGCCTACTTTGACTAGCAGTTCTGGGAAGAGTGTGTGTGTGTGAGAGAGCGAGAGCAAGAGCGAGAGCGAGAGCGAGAGAGAGAGAGCGAGAGAGAGAGAGAGAGAGAATATTAAGAGTCTGGTAGTGTCCTAGGGCCCAGGGCCCAGGCAGCTTTGCTTTGGGAGCTCCCCTTGAAAAGGCCTTGCTGACTGGGCTGCAGTACTGGTGGGACTGGGTGTCAGCAGGAGTGGCTGTTGGGGACTGAGCTCAGGGCAGTGCAGTGCTAGGGGCCTGGGCCACTGGGCAGTAGCCAGGGTGCACTTAGGGCATTTGTCAGCACTTTCTGTGGTTTAGAGACAAGTGGGAAGCAGGGAGGGGCTCTGTAACAGATTCCATTCCCTACAGCGGAGTCTTATCAATGTAGCCATATGGGCTTGCTTTCCCAGGCTGAGATGCTAGAGGTTTCTAGAGGAAGCAGCTCAAATGGGACCATCCTGATGCCTATGTATTGTTGCTAGAAGTCCTTAAGTGGTTAAATGTATTTAACCATTAGGCTGTTGGTCCAACTCTCCTCCCTCAATCTCAGCATTGGATGATTCCCTTCGGGAAAATGGGTCACTGGTCAGCTGGAACAGTGGTCCGGAACTGGTCAGGAAGTGATATGAGGGATGCCTGGGACACCTAAAGCCATCGGGCAAGGAGGGTGGGTGTTGGGAGGGGTGGGCCGCTAAGTAGAGCTCTGCTTGGCTCAGCCTGAAGCTGTGACCCAATCAATCCTTCACTAATCAAGTCTGTCATCAGTTCCTGGTCTGGGCACGGTCATGGGTCTGGTTTAAGTCAGGTCTGAGGAGGGGCCACAAACCTGATTTCCATCCTCTTGGCTAGTATCCCCCTGCAGTGGGTATAAAGCAGAAAAATGGTTACAGCCCTTTCCATGATGTACTAGAGGAATTCTGCCCAGTAAGTAATGTTACCCTTAGGGTTATAGGGCTTTGAAAAAACTACCCTATATGGTTTTGACCAATTTTGTATCCAATTTAGTAATATTTCAGGATTCCTTCTTTTTCCCCCCACTTGACTACATATATGCGTCAGTTTCTTATATTCTCATTTAAACTGGCTTTGTCATCTTGC